GCATTCCCGCGCACTACACTATGTTCAGAAAAGGATCTGGGTAAGATAACACATGCCTGATTGAGTCACACTGCTGAGGCAATGAGAAGAGAGGAATTAGATAGATGAAAGAAGATATTTAATGGTCCAGAAGTGTAATGAAGCAAGCGATTTTCAGTGTTTACTTACAGATACTGAATATTTGCCATTGTTAAAAGTCACTTGGGAAGACAGAAATTGTGCACTCCTAAACATACCAGAAGAAATCAAAGATCAGAATTACATTTTGAAACAAAAGTGAAAGACAAAGTAGAATTTTATGCTAGTGTTTATGTGTAAGACCACATTATTTCAGATCCTGTATTACTACTTTCAGCTACTGTATTCATCAAGCAGTTGGAGCTGTAGAAAAGCTATTTTAGTTCCATGTTTAGCTGGAGAAGAATGTCACAGAGATCTCCCAAGCCTGAAAACCATTATTTCAGAAAATGTAAGTTTTTCTGGTGAAATGAAAGACCATTATTTTTCAGTCAAGAGCAGAAACTCATTCACAATGAAACACCTCATCTATATTTCATTCTTTTTCAAAATCTCTACGAATTAGATTATAAAAAATTCCTAACCAAAATTTTGTTTTGCCTGAAAAAATATTTAAATAAAAATGCAGCAAATAAATATTTTGGCTTGTTTAAAAATGTAATCTAAGCCATATTAGTGTTAATCTGCAAACAGTTTTAATCATTCTAGATTTGAATTTTTAGCAAATGCATTATTTGGCCAGATGTCTTCTGTATCAATCTACATACACAAATGATTTATGAATCATTGTTGATACGTAAGATCTACTTTTTTGCAAGCTGATTCTTCAGACAATATTGAATCTTTTATGATATAGCACATAAATCACACTAAAAATACAAAAATATTCTAAATAACTTCCTAATACTAGTTTAGTTGCTATAAAAATGCACATAAATGGGAGAGAAAAATACTCCTAAAATGACTTTGCTCAGTATTCTCTTCAGCAGAATGTGTTTCAAACTCTAAAACAAACTAGAAATAGAGAAAACACCTCACGTATTTTCCTATACTGGAGCTGGATGAAGTGCACTGCTGGTAGTAAAATAACTGGTCTGCTGACTGCACGCCACTCTGCTATCATAGAATTAGTAAAATGTTTGAGTTATTATCTCCCCTCACTATCATCTACTGAGAAACAAAGTTATGCCTTAATTCATGTTTAGCAGCCACCTAATGTGTACATGCTTTTTACATAAGGAATCAAGCGTGTGAATAACAGTGTGGAAAAAATGTCCTGAAGTTAAAGGGAGATGTTTCTTAAGCATCTTAGTGTCTGCCTTTGGCCTTCACCCTCTCTTGACCCAGGACAAGGGGTGACCCAAAGGGTAGGCGGGCAGCACGCTTCCAGACCCAGTGGCATTGCCACATGCGGGCAGCCAGGAGGCTCCTCTCCCCAGTGATGGGCAGTGCACAGCTCCAGCAAAAATGCTGTGTTCCCACTGGGGATAACTGACACAAGCAAGGCAAAACAGCTTCATTTGTAGAGATGGGTGGAAAACTAGCCATTTAGTTAAAAAGCACAATCATGGAAAAATTTGGGGGGGAGTTTCCTGCTCATTTAAATGTGTTTGAAGTTTTTCTTTTAATCACCATAAGACCCAACTCAGTAGAGAGGCCCCAGCATCAAGAGGGGTGCCTTGTGCTTCCATGTTGCTCCTTCCTAGAGCTGACCAATGTAATGAAGAATCAGGGAGGAGAGGGAAAACACCTATGGAATTACTCTAGATCTTTCCCAGGACAGTACAGAATTAAGCCCATAGCAGTATGTTGCATGGCCTGGGCAAAATATCAGGCAATGGATCCTCCACCCGAAGATATTAGCCAGAAAGTGTTTGCAGGTCTACATCTTTTACTACCCAGCCTTGTGCCCTGCTTCTCTCTCCCATCTTGTGTGCAACTGTATCACTGGTTTTGAACACAAGGAGTTGATCCCAGCTGCTTATCTTGATTTTTGCAGTGATCTGTGCCCCAGCTTCTAGAACTGATGTGACTACGGGTCAAGTTAAAAACTATAGTTCCCAAATCAAGGGAAGGAGTAAATGTTGATAAAAGTGAGGTCTGTATACCAAAAAATCCTTACTTTACTGTAATGGCACTGAAATGTCCAATGTTGAAAGGTTCTAGGTTTTTTATGTTAATTGTTAATAAAAACAGCATCTTAATTTAACATGCTGCTACTCAAGGTAGTCTCTAAAGCCTACCACAAAAATGGGTGCATGTTCTCTTTGACAGTGCTAGCAGACAGTAAAATAAACTTTTGAAACACAGACACATTCTCAGCAAATTCACCTTACAAAAAGACAGCAAAACAGAATCCAATGGAAAATATAAACAGGAAGAGAAATGCCACTTAAGAAAGGAAAACACTAATCTAATTAAACTAAATCCTCTCTCAGCATTTCAGATATGACTTGAGAAACTCTCTCCTATTGCATTCCTGGATATTTTCTGACTTTCAGTTACAAAAGATTGTTCATGGGAGAGTGGCAGACATTGTTATATGACCTACAATCCACACTGATTTTTGTTCCTGGCCTAGGAGAGATTTGGGTGTGAGTCTACCACATTAATCCAGTCTGCCATCTAGTTATCACAGATCTCTTAACAGTGCTGTTCTGCAAAATGTTCAGCCTGATACAGTGACCTCTCCATTGTATTAGGCTCTAAAAATGTTTTCAGCTCAATGGCTCTGAAAGTGCTTAAAGAAGACTGACTGTGACAACTAATGTACTGATCAGCCTTTATTTTTCATTAACACTGCCTGTTCTCATCTTAATTAAGAATTCTAGCAATTATTTCACTCCATGGTTCATCATATATGGTTGCATTATCCTCTATGTTGTCATAATTCCACTTACTCTGTATTTATATTGCTGCTATTTTTATGACTTCCGAATAAACATGCTGATTCCAAACACAATCTGAAAAGACTATTTTAAATTACACCAGAGACATAATACAGTAATAACTTTTAAAATATTGTCAGAGTATATGTGGTTGAATGTGATAAGAAAATACAAGAAATCTTGAATTTAACACATATATACGCACTGACATGTACAGTAGCATGTGCATCACTTATACAGTTATATATCACTTATATAGTCCCCAAAAATACATGATTGGATTATCTTTTTTGTTTATAAGTTAATTTCAGCTCTAAGT